GTAAACAATTCTGAAATGAACCTACAGTGCATATCTTCTTTCAAATTAGTGTTTTGAGAATTTTTTTGAATGATAGGTACATGGACCCAGGAAATATGTGTCCTTAATTAATTTTTTTTCTTTTACTTTTCACATCTTTTCTAAAGATTTTGTTTTATTTATTTTTAGACAGGAGAATGGTGGGAGAAAGGGAGGGACAGAAACATCAATGTGTAATTGCCTCTTGCGCACCCCCTACTAGGGACCTGGCCCATAACTCCAGCATGTACCCTGACTGGGAATTGAACCAGAGACCCTTTGGATTGCAGGCCAGCACACAGTACATTGAGCCACATGAACCAGGGTTGTATTCTTCGTTTTTCTATGGCCTTTTAGTTCAGAAAATTCTGTATTTAAATACGTGAACAGAGGACTTCTGGCCAAGATGGAGGTGTAGGTGGAAATACTGTACCTCTTCATACATCCAAATTTAAGGACAACAGAGATGTAGAAAGAAAAACACAACCAGAACAGACAGAAAATTGACCTGTACTGAAGTCCAGCAACAAATCACTCATACAGACCAGTAAGAGGGGGGCAGTCAGAGGCTGGTGGACAGATGTTGCAGTGGAAAAAAGTAGCGGTTGTGACACCCGGGCTCAGGGAGGAAGCTGGCAAACCCACTGAGGTGCACAAGGTAGTTGGCTGACCCTGGACACATATTTGCACACAGATAAACCAGGCAAAAAACAGGCAGTGTGACAAACCATGCAACCCAGGGCTGCAGTAATGGGAAATAAAGCCAAAAAGCACCAGTTGAAAAATTTGCAGGGGCTGAGGTGCTGGGACAGACTCCCAGCCTCACAGGAAAGTTTGTGGGAGAGACCCAAAGACTCCTGGAACATAGACAAGCCCACCCACCTGGGAACCTGCACCAGAAGTGCCCAATTTGCTTGTAGGAAGAAGCAGAGGGTACCAAAATGAAATCTGAGATAGAGAAGAGCAAGTGCCATTGTTCCCTCTCTGACCCCACCTACACATACAGCTTTACAACCCAGCAACTGGGTGGCCCCACCCTGGTGAACACCTAAGGCTCCACCCCTCATATGTAGTAGGCACAAACCAACCCCCCAAAATGAAACAAATGCAAGAACAAATCAAAGCCCTGAGCAAATACTTTTAAGTTACAGCCAACCTATCAGATGCACAGTTCAAAGCACTGGTGAGCCAGATTCTCACAGAACTGGTGGATTTTGGTCACAAATTAGATGAACAAATGAAGGCTACACTAAGTGAAATGAGGAAAAATGCACAGGGAACCAATAGTGATGGAAATAAAACTGAAACTCAAATCAATGGAGTGGACCAGAAGGAAGAAAGAAACGAACAAACTGAAAAGAATGAAGAAATAAGAATTCAAAAAAATGAGGAGAGGCTTAGGAACTGGCAGTTCATCCTTAAATATCCCAACATCTAAATTCCAGGGGTACCAGAAGGGGAAGAGAGAGAGCAATAAGTGGAAAACTTATTTAACAAATAGTAAAGGAGAACTTCCCCAATCTGGCAAAAAATATAGACTTCCAGTAAGTCCAGGAAGCTCAGAGAGTCCCAAAGAAGGTAGACCCAAAGAGGAACACACCAAGGCACACTATAATTACATTACCCAAGATTAAAATGAAGGAGAGTATTCTAGAAGCAGCAAGAGATAAGGGGACAGCTACCTACAAAGGAGTTCCTATCAGACTGTCAGCTAATTTTTCAAAGGGGACCTTACAGACAAGAAGGGGCTGGAAAGAAGTATTCAAATTCATGAAAGGCAAGGACCTACATCCAACATTGCTCTATCCAGCAAAGGTTTCATTTAGAATGGAAGGCCAGATAAAGCACTTCTCAGATAAGGCCAGGTTAAAGGAGATCATCATCACCAAGACCCTATTATATGAAATGTTAAAGGGACTTATCTAAGAAAAAGAAGATAAAAAAGATTAACAGTAAAAAGACACCAAACTCACAGTTATTAACAACCTCACCTAAAGCAAAAGCAAACTAAGTGGACAGCTAGATCAGGAGCAGAACCTTAGAAATGAAGATCACATGAAGGGTTAGCAACAGGGGAGTGGGAGGAGAAGGGGGGAGAAGGTATAGAGAATAAGTAGCATACACGGTGGGGAGAAAATAGAGAGGGGGGGCAACAGTAGTGTAGAATGTAGAAGCTAAAGAACTTATGACACATGGACATAAAGGGAGAAGGTGGGGGAGGGGTTGTGCAGGGTGGAGGGGAATGAAGGGGGGAATGGGACAACTGTGATGGCATAATCAATAAAATATATTTTTAAAAAGATAAATATGTGGACATTATTGCTTGTTGTTATACTCCAATAAAATATTGAAAAGTCTCATATCGCAGGTATCATCAAGAACACAGTAGCTGAGACACATTTTATCAGGTGTCGGAGGCATATCTTCTAACTGCGTAGACAAGTGTCATATAGAGATAGAAATAGTGGGATCAAATTACAGTGATTACATTTGATAATCTCATATTTTGTAAACATATGTCTGATCTACATATACAGCTAAAGGGACATAAATTGGTTCAAGACAAGGGTGCACTACAGCCTCACACAATATCAAGGATGAGCCACAACATGCAATCCAGACACTCACAACTGATGCAGACTTACGAGATCTGAACAGAGATCAGAGCAACTTCCATCATAGAATTCCACTCAATGATAAAGGCATTATAATAAACCATTCTATTTAGGATTCTTGTTATGCAGCGATTGCTAATAAAATAATCAAAGCAAACAGCACTAAATATAATAATTCTGTTTTTACATTTTACATATGTTCTGATATTTGGGATAGCCTTGCGATTATTTTGTTATTCAAAATACAGTCACCTGTGAGTACAGTTATCTGTAATGGAACCACAGATAACTGTACTCACAGTACAAATAAACTTTTGTACTGTGAAACAAAGTTCATTGGTACAGAGGTTGCCTTTTAGGTGTCTCTAAGAGGTTTCAAGCACATGCACATTTGTGCAGAAAACCTGGTGATCCTGAATCATATGACCAGGAAGGGATTCAGTCTCTCTTGTGAGTCATTTTTAATTCTGAGAAGAGATTATTGCGCATGAGAGAGACATATGATCCATAATCTGGAAACTTTACATTGATTGTTCCTTTAGTGGTGAAGACAAAATTTAGAAAAAAGGATATGTTTTGCTTAGAGTCGTAGAGGAGTCATAATTGCAGGCAGCACCAAAATTTTCAAGCAGAGAAAGAAATAGAATTCATTAAAGAGGTAAAATATACTAACCAGCAACTTACCCCAATGCAGAAACTCTTCCTTACACATGGGCATCAATCTTCCATACCTCCATGAACATAGCAATACTTTGCACAATAATAAAATTAGTGATTAACAATTTTGTTTGATCGTATTTCAGGTCACCTCTAACACTCAGGCCATTTAGGTTAATGAATCAAATCTTGCTGTCCATGTAGACTTCACTGTAGGTATGTATATGATGGTCAATTTCTGTCAGTGCCTCCAGTGGGCATTGGGACCCTGAGCTGAATAAGACAATAAAAGCAGGAGAGCGGCTACAAAGCAGAGTTTCATGTTTGTAGTGTAAGTGCCTGTCAGGAAATACTTGATTTCCAAGGCTTGCACTTCAAAGATAACCATGTTGAAGAAACATGTGGCCAGCTTTCTGACACAGCTACTAGCTAAGCACCCTGGCCCACTCCCCTGTGAAGAGCCCCTTACAGAAAGCCCTGGAGAACTTAGATAACTGACCTCAGCAGTGACCACTGTTCACTTTTCACACCCCGAAACCTGCTCTTAAGTTTTAAATTCACCAATAAAGAGTGAAGCTTTGAAACTCTATTCATCCTTCCCTCAGACCTGAATAACTGCAGAACCCACAATAATGTCTTCTTTCTCTATCTCTCTCTCTCTCCCCCTTCCTCCCTCCCTCTCACTTCCCTGCCTTCTATCTCCATGACCTCATCAATGGACCTTAGGAACATCTGTACCCTCCAATCTCTGAGTGATAAACTTGCTTTTACCAGGTTCTCTTCGGGTTTTGGCTGAACAGTGTCATGGGATCATAATAAGAACTGCAAGGCCTGGTCCAGCCACAACATTGGCTCATGTCAGTGTCACAAGAATTCAGGGACCAGGTGAGTTCCCCAGGCATTTTAGGAATAACTGTGTTATCAACAGACTAAGACATAAATGGAACAATGTTTAAAATCTACATTATTAGGAAGAGTACTTAAGATAGTGAAATAAAAAATCAAGGGAAATGCAACCAACTGTAATTGAAAAACAATAAAATAATTTAATAGAAAAGAAAAAATGACACAAATTAAAAAATGGTTTCATATTTTCCTGCACAATGAAATTAAATAAATGTCCTAAGATGCCAAATGTTGTTTTGTGCATGTGAGTAATAGAAGTCTGATTATTTTTTCAGAAAAAGAGAGAGTTTTCTTAGCATGATATTTGTCATTTGAGAATATATTTTAGAGAAATCCAAGTTTTCCTATGAAAGATATGGAATTTTCCAAATATTTCTGATCCAATGTTGAGAAACACTTTCATAATATATAAAAATTGTCAAAGGGCTGACAATGACCAGAGGGGAGAGGGGAGGGAATTTCAGGGAAAAAGGGTGAAGGCTTTGCAGGAACAAATATAAAGGACACATGGACAATACAGAGGGTTAGAAACAGGAGGGAGGGCTGGGGCATTGGGTTGGGGTGGGGGGAGGCAGAAAACTGTACTTGAACACTTAAAATTTAAAAATTTTAAAAACTTGTCAAAGGGAAAACTGCCCATACATTGTAGCAGAAGCTTGTAAAGTGAGTTACTTAAATTTATAGAGAACATGAATGAATACAAGAAAATGGACCCACCAAAAATTAGAGAGAAGGAGCCAGGCTATCCCACAGGATCAAACACTCCCAGTTTATGGTTTGAGTTGTTGAGCCACCCACACAAGGTCACATTTTGAGCATGAGCACAATTGTCCCCTTTGTACTTGCCATCCCCAAAACTCTTTTCAGAGCCCCCTTTATGTCTTTGTTCCTGAGACTGTAGATGAAGGGGTTCAGCATGGGTGTGAACACAGTGTACATCACTGAGGCTATTGCACCTAATGGTGAGCTGTGAGTACCAGCAGAGCTAAGATACACACCTAGGCTTGTACCATAAAATAAGGACACAACTGAAAGATGAGATGCACAGGTGGAAAATGCTTTATACTTCCCCTGAGCTGATGAGATTGCACATATGGAGGTCACAATCTTAGAGTAAGAGTAAAGGATCCCAGCCAGGGGACCACCAGCAAGCAGCCCAGCAGCCAAGTACATCACCATGTCATTCAGAAAGGTGTCAGAACTGGCAAGTTGGCTCATCTGACTGAGTTCACAAAAAAAGTGAGGGATTTTCAAGTCTGCACAGAAGGATAGTTGTAATACCATTAAGCTTTGCAACAAGGAATACAGGGAACTCGTGATCCAGGACATCAGGACCAGCAGTCCACAGAGTTGGGGGTTCATGATGTTAGTGTACTGCAGGGGGTGACAGATGGCTACAAATCGGTCATAGGCCATCACAGTGAGGAGGAAGTTGTCCAACACACCAAACAATAGAAAAAAGTACACCTGTGTGATGCAGCCTGCATAGGAGATGGCTTTGTTCTGTGTCTGAATGTTCACCAGCATCTTTGGGATGGTGGTAGAGGTGAAACAGATGTCTACCAAGGACAGGTTGGAGAGGAAGAAGTACATGGGGGTGTGGAGATGGGAGTTTGAGCTGACGGCCAGGATGATGAGCAGGTTTCCTAACACAGTGATCAGGTACATGCAGAGGAACAGGCCAAATAGGACGGGCTGCAGTTCTGGTGCCTCCGATAGTCCCAGGAGAAGAAATTCTGAAGTTGGGGTATCATTGCCTTGGACCATGGGGTGGTGGTCACTACAAGGACAAAAACATTACATAAATGGGCATAACTAACAAATAGGAGGTGCTGCAATTACAATGCTATGTGGCAAAGAGCATGCAAAAGAGAGTGGATGTGGGATTTATTTATGGAGAGTTCAGGGAGACCTAAGAACCAGATTTCATTAGAACAGGGACCTCAAGGGAGAGAAAGCAGGAAACACTAGTTTATTTGCAAAGAGTAAGCCCTGCAGGGAAAGAGCCAGTGCAAAGACCCATAGGTGACACTTGTTCCAGACATTCAAGACTAAAAATTGAGTCACATGGTGAGGTGAATGAGCAAGAGGAGAGAAATGAGAGATTATCAGAGAATGAGGGGAATAAGGTGACATTTCTGCTGCTGCTGAAACTTCAAGTCACAGGGAATCTCTTGTCCACAGTTTTTCCTTGAACTTTATTCATTTTGATTCCAGGTAATAATGTGGCCATAAATGATTCCCCCTTCTTATTTTCATGTGTTGGTTAACATCCTACATCTCAATTTTAAGGGTCACATTTTGGAGTATATTTTCTCATGTACCCCTGATTCAGTACCTCCGAAGCTGTCAGACTCACCTGGATGAAGCTCTGAGAAGGCCTCTGTGTGCAAGTCTGAACTGGTCTGTGGATGGCTGATGATGGAGACTGAAGGTCTGTCTCCAGACAAGAGAGCAGGAAGGAGTGAAGCATTGGTCCCCAACCAGACTTGGGTCTCCAAAAACAACCCTCTTCCGGCCAGTCTAAGGTTGTACATGCAGCAGAGGTGATATTTTCAGCAGCCTATATCTGCTCATTAGGTACTCTCTTCATTGTTACTCCCACTTCTGAGTACATCATGTCCCTTAGGACACAGCTGTGGACAGAAGGGGAATTTTCTTGCTGAGTCTGTATCCCTGTAGACCATATTAGAAGTCAGGTGAATCCAGCTTTCATTATTGCTTTTCCATGAACTCACCTGCCTTCCAGAGGTCTTACCTCCTTGCACCTCATCCCAATCTTGTGTCATCATTTTCTCCAAATCTAAGACTGAGGACCCTGCCCTGACTAGGTCTCATGGACTCCCAGAGTACTGACAGGTGGTGAGCAGCAGCTCCTCCTATCTCTAGAAATTGCTGTTTCTCTCTTGAACAAGTAGGACTGGTGTGTTTCTTTGCTATAAAACCACAGTACTCTTATCCTTGGCCACAAGGATCAGATGATTAGATGATTCATGCTTGTAACACAAATTAAGAGCTGGCATTTAGTGCTTCATGTAAGAATATTTGCAAAAAGGTACAGGGAATAAGAAGCATAAATGGTAGGTACAAAATAAACAGGGGGAGGTTAGAAAAGTATGGGAAATGAGAAGCCAATGAATCTGTATGTATGATCCACGGACATGAGCTAAGTAAGATGGGGGAGATGCTGGTAAGAAATGAGTACAAGGCAGAGGGTAATAAAGGAGAGAAAGAATGGGACAACTGTAATAGCATAATCAATAAAATATATTTTAAGAAAGTATTTGCAGAACCAGACAATAACAAAAATATCAGTAAAAATATAGAGCACCTGAATAACACTACCCACTACCTTGATCTAATATTTCTAAAATACTCTCCAACCAACAACAGCAGAACACATATTTTCAAGAACAAGTGGCCCACTGACCAAGGAACACCACATTCTGGTTCAAAATCAAAACAAGAAAAAAAACACTATAAGCTGCTACATTTCACTGCCTATCCTAAAAAACAAACAAAAAAACACTTTTGGGGAAAGTAAAAGCATCTTTTCCTTCCCCAGAGAGGGTGAGAGGCGATGCCTACTTTAATTACCAGTGCTCAACAAATGCTCAAACAATGCAGAGCAAATTGATCAATAAACTCTGATTGATCAATCAACCCTGCTGAGGTTGTACAAACAGCCTCAGGGGACTCCAAATTAAAGGTAATTGAGAATGGAAGTAATCACGTATTCCATACAGTTTTTGAGAAATGCAGGATTTATTTCTGTCAATGTTTATGGATTTAATTATGATTATTTAAGTATTTTATTACACTTCTTAGGTTGCTTCCTTTTTTAAACCATCTTTCTGGTATTTCTATTACTCTGATTTTATATCTGGATCACTGAGTCCATGAAAAAAGAATAAGCTTAGATTCAATCTCCATGGCAATTCTATGTCCACCACACTATAGTTGCATATGTGAGTTTGATTTAAATACATTAATCTATGCAAATTTGCAAAAAATAAAAACGTTTCATAATTATAAGATATACTTTGATGTTTTTATGCACTGTTTTGAACTTAGATTCTTATACGGATTGTCTTATTTCAGTTCTACTGAAGTCCATTCTTTGAGATCACACCACTGTGAATTTCACTCTACATTTGCAGAAATGGGACTTAGAGGGTGCAGCAACCTGCTCAATATGAACTGAGTAAGGGGTGAACTTTGATGGGAACCCCATCAAGATGTTTCCACTTCAAGGACTGGCTGGTGTGGCTCAATGGATTGGCCATGGGCCTGTGAACCAAGGGGTCACTGGTTTGATTTCTGGTCAGGGCACATGCCTGGATTGTGGGCCAGATCTCAGTACAGGGCACATGAGAGGCAGCCACACACTGGTGTTTCTCTTTTTCTCTTTCTCCTTCCTCCCCCCCTCTAAAAATAAATGAATAAAATCTTCAAGAAAACAAAAAGATGTTTCCAGTTCTCATGCTCCAGTCACATGTTTGGAAACCACAACCAGAGGTGATTTTGCTTCTAGGGAACACCTAACAAAGTCTGGAGGCTATAATGTGGCTACCAGTAGCACCTAGTGGATTGAGCGCAGGGCTGCCTCTCAATGTCTTACAATGCATGGACTGTCCCACCGCACATAGGTATCCAGTAGATGTGTCAACAGTGCAGTGATGAGAAATAACATTCAGGACCAGAACCTCTCCAGCATCAATGGGTATATGAATTTGGGATCTTGTTCAGATGTAGATTTTGATGGGCAGGTCTATGGTGACCCAGAGATTCTGCACTTGTAACCAGCTCCTACTTAATACTCATGCTGCAGGTCCCAGTCTGCGACCACTCTGAGTACCAAGGCTGATGTCAAGTGTGAGATTCCAGGGTGAGTAGGTTTTCACCTCCTTCAACAAGAACCCTCTTCCACACACACACCTCAGGTCTGGCTTTAAGCAGTCAAATGTTGGACTCAGTAGCTCAGCTTCAAGCACACAGAAGCCTCTTGAGTATTTCTCTCATGACAGGAAATGATACTTTCAGGTATTTGGTTCCTTATCTATACAAATAGAGAACTTTCAGCTATGTTATGAAGCTGGCCTGAGAAGTTAGTCATATTTTAGAGCTAATAGGAAATTACTGGCACAGAGCAGGTGTTCAATTTATAGCAGCAATGTGACTATGTCCCAGTTTTGCATTTACTAAGCTTATTGTGACAGAGAATCTGGACAGACAGGAAGTGAGTCCAGCATGGCCCTGCCCCTGGAAGAGAGAGAGCTGTGATGTTGAAGGTGGACCTGCTCACCGGGCCCCTCACAGGGAACAGAGTGCTTGAGTGGCCACGGATCTGTGCTCTGCTGAACTCAGTGATATGACCTCTGGCCCTCTCACACTGGCTCCACATGGCCACAGTAAGACTTTGCAGACTCTTCAAGCTGTTTTACTATATTCTATATTTCACTGCTGGGAATTTCTGCCAAGCTAATGTTTCTTGAGGGATTAAGTTATTCCACCAACTCTTTGTACCTTCCTTGTTGCAAGGCTACATCATAAAAATCACAAGTGTTTGCTGTGCAAAAACAAGTGTGAAAGCCTTCTGTGTTGTTTGCCCAAGTAGAATTAATTCATATTTCTGAGTGATTCACTCCATCATTTTTTTATGTGGACTGTACAGCCCTGCCCATTGCTTTGAGATGTTAAATAAAATTTTTTCTGCTTTACTGAGAAATAATTGATATATAACTTTGTGTAACTAAATTGTACACCAGGACAATGCATTACACATATATTGTAACATTTTTACCACAGTGTGATTACTTAACACATCCAGCACATGATAATTATCCTCTCTGTGGTTAAAATATTTAAGAGGTACTTTCTTGGCAATTTTCAGGTGTATAATACAGTATTACTAACTAGAGTCACCTTGGTCTTTACTAGATTCCCACAATCTTGCACTTCATATACCAGTCTTTACCCTTTGACCAATATTTCCACATCTTCCTTACCCCCCTGTTCCAGGCAATCACATGTCTACTCTTTGTTTCTATGAATTTGTCTTTACTGATCCCACTTGTAAGACAGATTACACCAAGTTTTGTCTTTTTCTGCCTTATTTTATTTTTTTATAATGCCTTCATAGTCCATCCCTGTGGTTGCAAATGACATGATTTCCTCATTTTTTAAAGCAGAATAATATTTTATCCTATGTATTATATGTAATATTTTCTTTTTTTAAGATGTATTTACTTTTAGAGAGAGAAGAAAGGTGGGAGAAAGACAGGAAGAGAAGCATCGATATGCGAGGGATACATCCTCTTTCACACACCCAACTGAGGGCCTGGCCCACAACACAGGCACTTCCCCTGATTGGGAATCGAACCAGCAACCTCTAGGTTCGCAGGCAGGTACTCAATCCACTGACCACATCAGCCAGGGCCATGTTTTCTTTATTCATCCATCGGTGGCACCTTAGGTTGTTCCATGTCTTGGCCATTGTGAATAATGCCGCAATGAACATTGAGAGGGCACGAACATATTTTTGTGACAGTGATTTCATTTCTTTAGAATTTATACATGGAAGTGACATTCTGGATCACAGAGTAGCTTTATTTCAATTACATTTCTACCCACGGTGCACAAGTACTCCCTTTTCTCCACATCTGTACCAGCAATTATCTTGGTCATCATGATGAAAGATTCCTGATAATTCCTCATGGAACTGACCACACAGAATTTATAAAGTCTCATACATTCCCACCATATAG